GTCCGATTTTGTTAATCACTTGTATGATTACAGACCAAATTGGACTCCACTCAGTCCTATTACCATTATTAATGACTGTATTTCAATGCAGTTTACCAGATATGTACATGTATACTCTAACTTATTACTACAGGTGGCTTCAAATGATAGTTGTTTGAATATTTTTCTCTAGTTCAACTTGCCCATTTGACTTGGATGATAATGAAGCACCTTGTAAAGGAAAACTTTCACTTTCAGGTAATTCTTCTTACCGGTAAGCCTAACTTTTTTAGTCAGTTTTAATTGTGCGGCTTACTATGGAAGCCCACTTACATTAAAAAAAAACGAGACAAATACAATGAATGGATTAGCTTAAATTGTGTAGACATTGTATTAGGACACCAAGAGAAGGTACTGTAAACCCGCTGGCCACTGATTGAACAGAATTATTCAAAGGATTTTTTCTGCCCAATCAGAAGACAGCTTTCATAGAGCTGTTAGGAAATGGTGCAGTAAGACTTTGTCCCCCGTGGCTCCTTGCTTTCTTTCCAACATTTCTTTGCCAATTTTTCCCCACCTTTTTGATTTTCCCTCACCCTACTAACTGCTGCTGGGTCTTTGAGGATGGTTGATAGGTACCATTGATGATTAGATATAATTATACTTTGCTATTTCATCTTCCCTGATTAGCTCATACTTGGGTTTTATGTGGCTAAGTTTGTGCGTTAATTCTTTCCTTAGACATTCGTGTTCCTTTGATGTGGACCCAAGATGATCACAATAAAACCAAGACAGGTCTGTGTTTCACCCCAAAATCCAGCAGCACTGTAATGTATCAATAAGGGTCATGCATCAGTTTATCCTTGATGTACATGTATCAAAATGTCAGTTGAAAGTTTCTTTAAAAATACATACATGTATGGAAAATACTTGATACAAAACTTTCCTAAAGTGGGCATCCAAAATAATACCTCTGAAGATAGGTCATTTCTGGATGCTCTTGGTACTGCAGGCCAACATTTTTTTCTAATGGTGTGGGAAACATTTATTTTGAGCCAGTATCTTTATCAGTATCGCATGATTTACAATAAATGACTTTGGTTTTGTCTGATATAAAACTGAAATAAAAAAAACCCTGATATGTTAATGTCACTAAGATTTTTTTCTTTTTCTTCTTTTGTACCTTTTTTTATTTGTACTTTTTCCTTATTGTAATCACAATAATGTACAATGACGGTGGTGCAGTAACATAATTCATGTCATTAAGTTTTGTTGTTGTGCAGCGCAATAGTAATTTTTTGTAATGTAATGAAGTGTGAGTGAAATAAATATCAGTCTAAAAAAGGAAAAAAGATCTTATAACACATCAGTTGTACAATAAAAGTCTTTAATTTGTGTCATCACAACCATGGTGTCTCTGGGTTCTCAGTTTTCAAGGTCTTAGGGCCTTGGTTTTTATGACAACCACTAGCTGGTGGCTATTTATCATTATCGAACTAAACATAGTCATACCTTACTGACTGTATTTTTTTGTGTCTCTCCAAAATTGTAGAGCAACATATTTACTATGTGTTCTGCTTGTTGAAGCTTGATGGTCAAGTGCTGGACACAGCTCTTGTAGAAACTGACGAGTCAGAAACAGATATTTCCTTCGACAACATTATTGTCTTGTAAGTGTTTGAAGTCTTGAAGTCTTAGTCAGTGGTATTTCATTACAAACGATGCGCACAAGCAAAAGTCTCCATGCATAACATGTAAAACCAGTACTGTAGCTTTTATTTTGTGCAAAAAAGGTTGAAATTGGCTCAATTTTGATTTTTTTTTACAAATTTTCTTTCATATTTGTAATTTGTGGTTTCTCGACTTCCAAATGTGAGGGAAAGGCAAAAAAAATGCTAAATATGCAGAACAATGCCAGTTTCTTTACCTCGATATAAAGAATGTGTCATGTTGTAGCCGCTTGCCAAGTTTTATGTCACTCAGATAAGTTTGAACTTTGGTAGTCACGATTGCAGCCAGAACTAATTGGTCAACCTTCCCCTCCCCTTTGTACCATAAAACACTCTTGCCAGCCCATGATAAGATGGTTATTTCTTTCAAAAACTACTTAGATTACTCCCCTTATTAAAACCATTCAAACACACCAAGCATTTCTTTTCATGAAAATTGCCAATTTCTTGCAGCGGCTTTTCTATTTTCTTTTGTTGTCATGTTATTTACAGGTCAGAGTGGGGCTGAGAGAAAAAAAGCAAAGTCAAAATCACAGTGGCCTCAATGCAAAATACATTTTTGAAGATTAGCAAGTGAATATGTTTAAAAGAACTACTGTGATTGCCTTTTTACAAGTGCAGCTGTCTAATTGGCTGATTGACAGTTGTGAAAAATGTTCCTTGTAGAAATCTAACTTGTTTGAGGTGTCTGAATTTCAACTTTCATATCTGAGAAACAATTTCATTTAATAAAGCTTTAAAAACATGAAAGGTTGTCTGTTTAAATAAATGTTTGAGAAATGGGAAGAAAAAAATCGCCACTAAAGCACTTTGCTAAGTAGAAACAATTTTTTTTATTAACGAAAGGTAGACTCTCCCCTTGTTTTAGCCACTTCCAACTCCAGTTTCTAGGCAACAAAAAGGCTTAACTTTGTCCAATGTACTGAAAGTCTATCTCTTTAAGAGTTCTAGAAGACTGCAATATAGCTTATCTGATATACCTAAAATTAAAACTACTGGAACCAATTATATGCCAATGAACTTCGTGCACAGTTTGAAGTTCAAAATTTCAGCTTGTGTTATGAATTGACAGCAACACCATATCTTTACAGTGGACATCCTTGTGCCAAATCACACTAACTTGCTGCATAGATAGCATGCATTAACAGCATTGCAAGATGTCTGTTTGAATGTAGAAATTTATGAAAAATTGTCCAAAATTAGAACATGACATAACCAGACAAAATTATCACACTAAGAATTCAGGCGTCTCTTGCCCGGGAAATAGGCTGAGGACATGAGATGACTTACATTTCAGGCTAGGCACTTCATCAGCTGGTTGTGACATTTTGAGGGACTTATATTACTGTACTTATATATACCTTATTAAGGCTTGTGATTATTTGATCCAACTTGCACTTGTGATCATATGAGTGCACATATATACATATAGTAATAGTTGCTCTTTTATTTCATACATTTTCAGTGAAAATGTGAGTCATGACTTCAAGTTGGACATGGAGATTTACTACTCGGTGTCATCAGATAATGCAGCGAACAGAGCTTCTGGTTTAATGAGACCCCTAAGGAGAACTCCATCTGGGCATGAAGTTCCCAAATTTATACTTGCAGGGCACACTCAGTTAACAGTGGATCACTTACATGAAGACATAAAATCACATGACCTCAAGACTGGTAAGATGGCTAAAAGCCTGCTTAATGTGAAATTAAATTGTATTCTTTTTAAGTGGTACTCCTTAAAAAAGATAAAGTATCAAATTAATTAGCAGTTGTATATGTGCATGGAGACATACTGCTGTAACCCAACTAAAGCATTGGTCAAGTACACTGCAAGTATCTGCCAGCACAGTTCATATGTTTGAGAAACAACTATTGCAATTGAGTTATATAATTATCAGCAGAAGTGTTTATTTGCTTTGACTGACACATTGCTGACAAACAACTGAGGTGCCCCCAGTGCCGATCATATGCAATGACTGACATACTACTAACACACAACTGGGCCCTATATGAGCCAAGAATCCTGCTAACATTTGCAGATTTCGGGAGTATGTTGGAATTCTTCATTGCTTTCCACCAATTTCTATGTTGTTATCTTCCTGAAAACAGGCTTGCTTGTAATTTTTTCTGCAGCAATTGTGCTTTATTTTAGAAATTAAACAAGGCCTACCTGCATGTTGAAATCTAGCTGATTGAGTTTCAGAATGCTAGCAGATCACATGAGATAGCTTTGGCATGCACTGATCAGTATTCAAAGACTTTGAAGGGTTGGTGGGTTTGGCCTGTGATCCTCAGCCGGCATTCTGTAACTCGAAGTCTTGTTTAGGAGGCTGGCAACAGTTTCCAGCACTTTTGCAACAGCACTACTTTGAAGGATGAATACTACTCCTCTTTAACAAGTGATGATACAATAATGGTTGTACACAAAAAAAAATGCCTAATCATTGCTTTGCAAGTTGCTGTCATCCTTTTTATAAAACGGGTTGCCATACCAACAATACAATCTCTTAAAAACACCTTAATTTAAGCTTTAAGTGCTTATAACTCAAAAATGACCTTGGTGACCCCCACTTTTTTTCCTCAAATTGCGATAAAAATGATAAGGAGCAACTTATTGCAAAGTTTAAAAACCAGAACCACCATAACCATAAAGTTTATTGCAATACCGGCCTGACCGATGAGTGTGGGCAAGCTGAATGTTCTCCAACAGTGCTGTTCCAGGTCAGAGTCACAGTGTGTGGCATCATCAACACAATCTTCTTGTGCTCAAAGGTTGATAGAACAGCATCGAAAGTAGCAATTGGAGCTGTCTCCTGATGAGAGGAACCCTAATGTGGTGCTCCTGTGTACTGCTAGCGGCCAAACATCAAGATAAAAGTGGTCAGGGGTGATCTGATGGGCACAATGGAACACTGTGGTAGCTGTTCGAAGCATCTGTGACTGTCTGATGCATTCTGCAAGACCAAAGGGAGACTCCATAGCAAAGGTCTCCTGTTGACCATGCTTGTTGAGCAGTGAGAGATCAACAGTGCGACAAGGAGCCATCATGCTTTTGTGTGATCACCATGTGGTGGCACCAGGTTTGCCATATGGCACAAGGTCATTGATGCCAAGAGCTTCATCACAAAGGAGATCGTCATATACTCGCTGCTGTCATTGTAGGGGTGTAGGAGGAGTATGACTTGCATTTGGTTGACCAGTTGGGTCAATGTTAATCTCTATGAATGTAGTGGAGGCATATTTGTCAAGCGGCCATACTTTCATCTGCCTATTATTTTTCTGGTGTGCAGGGGAGAGAGGGGCATAGTAGCACTGCTTCGTGCTGAGGGCATCAGCATGTTACGATGTATATTTTGATTGACTGCCGTAGCATCCTGAGATCTTCTTTTTGAATCCAAGCATCTACTTCTGGGACTTCTGATTTTGAACTGGAAAGGTGGTTCTGCTGGCAACTAGCACTAACACTAATGGAGCATATTACTTTATCATGCTTATTTTTATGTTGGTCCAAATAGCAAGGCCAGTGAAGTACTAGAAATCAACTTTTCCACTTTTGATTCTTCCGCACATTTGGAATATTAAAACTATCAACTTTTGCAGGGACATTACAGCTTGGTTAAGATTGAGAGCAAATTAATTGATTTTTGACAAACTTACCGTTTTCAGATTTCGCCAAATAAATTTATTGAATTAACAAGCAGTAAACATTACATAAAAAACTAAATTTTACAGACACTGTTTTATATTGCAATTTACGGGGGCCTTCAGCCACATGTGTAATCAAACCTATTTTGCAACATGTTTACCTGATATTTTACACATTTCAGGTTGATGTATTTTCCATTTTTTAAACGCACCTGCATTTCTTTACAAATCAGATATGAAATTTGACCTATCAGCGATTGGCCCAGAAACGCTGAGAAATGGCAGCCTTGTCACTTTGCTTAGTTTATTTTTTTGGAAATAGATTCGCAATGCTTATGAATAAATACACCATTGCAACATACTGAAATCCTTCTCCGCTTTTTATAAAGCCATCTAGTATACGGAATTCAGTGCAAAGTGCAAGATTTTAGAATAATTTATCCGTGGCTGATAGGCCAAGGCGGACAGGGAGTATGTCATCACATGAAAACCCACTAGCTAAGAACTCAGCCGGTTACCATAAGTCGGACTGTACGTTGGTGTGCACACCTTAGTGTGGCTAGGGTGTGTTTATGGTGATGTCGTTGTCGTACCAACTAGATTGAAATGCTGCAACTTAGGATATCGGGTCTGTTCTCAGGGCCTGACTGGTAGGTTGGAGAATGGGGCTTTATGCTGTGGGTGCTTTGTGCACCAGCAAGCTCTCTAACAGCTGAGGCAGGCTTGATAAGGTTTGGTTTTAGCCTCTGGTCCACTCTGTGAAAATCTTGTAGAGAAGTAGTATATGTGGTATTCTACAAATACTGGCAAAATTGTTCACGCCTCACCGCCTTGGCGTCAACAATTTTCCAGTATTTGTCAAATACCACATATACTACTGTGGGCGTGCACCTTTTGAACATTTCTGGTATCTTAGAAAAGGGATGTATCAAGCACGCCACAAGAAACATTTTATTAAGAGCCCCTTTCGTAATAGAGTGGCGCGCCACCTCCCTGGCTTATTGATCTACAAATTGAGGCCTTGGAGCAGTACGTCGCCCGCGAGGGGGTGGAAGAGGGGGAGGAAAAAAGGGGCAGGCGGTTTATCAGATGGACTTTTTCTAGGAGGCTGGGCGCCACTCAAACACCTTCTATTATGGAAAAGTTAAGGCAACGTGTCTGCTCAGCATTTTATATTCGCTACAGATATGCTTATGTCATTGTGAATGTCGAAACAGGGTTTAAAATGGTCTATTATAAGCAGCGCAGGGGCTCGCCTTGGATTAACAGATTTGCAAATGCAGAAACCTGGCTGAATGCGCAGGAAATCGAGCGGCTAAATCCCAGCAACATCGAGCACCCGAACACCAAATGGGCATTTGTTAAGTTTTCAAATGTCCAAGTGAAGGTTGTGCTGGACAGGCAGCCAATGTTAGGCACAGGCCCCCTGCTAGACTGGTTGCACAACCTCACATATGGGCGCCAAATGTTGGCGCTGGACACCTTTGATGACAACTTGTGCCTCTGGCACTACATAACCATGCATCGGGGAGTGCACCCCAATCGGAGCACACAGGCAGTGAGAGAGCTAGCCCAAAGTTTTTTGAAAAACCCGCAAATCTTGAAAACGTTGCTAGATGAGTTGGAAAAAGTCAAGATGTTCCTCAACCAAGGGAAACCTGTTGCAGAGTGGCTTGGGCTCTGAGTCTATGGACCAGAGCGCCAAGAAAACAGTGAAACTGTATGGCATTTAAGAAAGAACCCTTCAGACAAGCTGCAGAACATAACGATTGGAATTTATGATGGGCACGTGTTTTTGATCAAAGGAATCAAGAAGCTAGCCAGGTTGTATGCATGCGCCGATTGCCAAGCGCGCTTTACACAAGCCTGCAGCCTTCAAAAACATACCAAACATGCTCGCAAGAGGGGATGGTTATTGTTTGCCCGAACGAGAGAGTTGAAGCCCTGCAGACCGCTTATGACACAGTTTTCTATGGCAAACTGTGTGCTTCACCGTCATTGATTCACTGGCTAGAGCAAGCAAGCAAGTAGCTGGGTCGTTATATTCACCATGCATTATGCGGCCACAGTGGCGAGCGGTGGATCAAAGGCTTGCCGGTTGATGGATATGATTCCAAGACCAACACGGTGTTCCAATTCCACAGCTGCCGCCACTGTTTTCCAAACAGCCGAGACGAGATTATCAACCACGGCCACACGTGAGAAAACCGTTTCCTTGCCACGATTGCAAGGACGCGATTGCAAGGAGCGATGTGCAAAAAACACGCGAACCCTGCCACAGCAGGAAACAAAAACATACCCACACATGATTTTGTATGGTTTTGAATCGTACTTTATCAAAGCCCAGAAACAGGTGGTAACAGATGGGCTGACGTACGAAAGTGTGCACATCCTTATTTCAGTGAGCATCGGCGACACGCTGGAACGAGAGCCCACGCACATCTGCAAAGCAAACAAAAAAGAGCTCATCAAAAAATTCATGGCAGAGCTAGAGAGGCGTGGTGCAAACATCCCTGCCTGTGTAAGAGGGCAGTTCATGCCCGAAGACGGCCACTTGTTAAAAGGAAAGGGGCGCGGCGCGATCGCAAAATGGTGCGACCAGTTCCCCATTCTCAGGTTCAACAGCGGGCGTTATGATTTGAATCTGATAAAAGAACATTTTGTTGAGCTGCTGGCTAATACAACGGCCAAGATGCTATGGGGGAAAAAGGTGAACCGACGATGTTCGTGAAAACCAGCGGCTTGTGCTTGGTACACCTCATCAACTATCTGGGGCGGTGCACGAGCTATGACAAGTGGGTGAAAGTGTACTGTGGCACTGATCTTAAATCTCACATGCCTTATGAGTGGTTCGACTCTCCAGACAAACTAGATTTCCAAGGGCTGCCGGATTACCCAGCCTGGTCTTTGCGTCTGAAAGGCAAGTTCATTCTCAAGCTCTCGGAATGGAGAGAGTGCAAAAAGGCCTTCAAAGAAAAAGGATTGCACACGTTTGCTGACTGGCTCCGTTATTACAACAACCTCGACGTGGGGCCGGCATTGGAAGCCCTGGAAAAGATGCGCACCTTTTACACAGCCAAAGGCATTGATATCTTAAAAGATGCTGTCGGTCTCCCTGGCATGAGCCTGCATTACCTGCTGAGAGGCATGATCGAGCGCAGCGCCGAACTGTACAGCCCCAGCAAAGAAGCATACAAAATGTTGAAAGAAGCGGTCGTGGGTGGACAAAGCCTGGTGTTCACGGGATACCACGAAGCCGATGTGATGCTCATGTGATAGCACCGCTACTGCAGCCCGCGACTTTGCAAGCGGCTCATAGGGTACGACACCAATGCGCTCTATCTCTCGACAATGTTGAGAGACATGCCATGTGGAAAAGAAAAGGTCGTGCTTATGGTTTGGTGGCCTGGGGCCAAGCATATAAATCACACCTTGAAAAGCTTCTGAAGCTCCAAAAGCGAGCTCTTCGCTTTATTTATTTTCTGAGCGAAATCAACATACGATTCCTTTATTTATTGATGCCAGTGTTTTACCGTTAAAATTTTTGTATTATGAGCCTTTAGCTAACCTTATGTTTGAAATAAGACACAGAAATGCTCCTGGAAACATTCAAGATCTCTTTCAAGACATTTCTGATATTCATTCTTACAATACTCG